TACATGGACCTAGATATAGATATAGATATATAAATATATGGAAAACACTCATAAATATTTATGCTTGCGTGAATATATATGTATATATATATACATATTCACGCACGCTAACACACACACACATACACACATATTAATATATATACAAATATATGTATAAAAGGATGTATGCCTGCATGCATTTAAATTTATTTATATATATATATATATATTTGTATGTATGTCTATGTAAATGTATATGTACTACATATATATATATATAAATATAAATATATATGTGTGTGTGTGGTATATCTATATATGTATATATATATATATATATATAAATATATATATATATATTGATACTATATTCATATGTATATCTATGTATTCATATTCATATATATATATATATACATATATATATATATATATATATATATATATATATATAAATAGATATAACATTAATAAACTAATTTATATAAAAATAAAATAGATAAATATATTTATATACATTTATAAATACAAATTTAAGTTTATAAATACAAATATAAATTTATGAAAATAAATATATAAAGATATGTATATATATATATTTATATACATGTATAAATATATATATATATATATATATATAGATATATACTATATATAGATATATACTATATATATATATACAGATATACTTAAATAAGTATAAAAACAAATATATATATATATATATATCAATATGTAAATATACCAATATATATATATATATATATATATATATATAAATTATTTATATATATACACATATATATATATATATGTATATATATAAAATATATACATATATATATAACTAAATATATATAAATATATATACATGTATGTATATATTTATATATATATATATATATATATAAATATGTAATATATACATCAATATATTATTTAGATATAGCTATAGATACAAATATATATATTGACGTATACATATATATATATATATATATATTTATATATATATATATATATATATATATATATGTGTGTGTGTGTGTGTGTGTGTGTGTGTGCGTGTGTGTGTGTGTGTATATGTATATATGTATATACATATATATATATATACATATATATAACATTTACATAGATGCGTATATATATACATACATACATATATATATATATTCATATATATATATATATATTTAGCGACAAAACGTGTATACATATATGTGTATTTGATAAGAGTACGCACGTATATGTTCATACAAGTATGTACAAATTTGCAAGTCCTACATACTTGCCAGTCTCCATCACAGGGTTAAATGGGTCCAGCTTCACACACTCTGCCAAATGCAGGGCCGCGCGCTCGAAATCCAATGTCGCATATTCTTTATGGACAGATATATTCCAGATTTTCTCTGCCAGTGCGTGCCGTGTACTTATGACCAGCTCTTCCATCTCCATACCAACCGATTCCGTGTGCAATTCCGCGGCCTTTTCGTAGCACCCCAAGGCTTCTCTTAACCTTCCCATTTTCCCATATGCCATACCTTGTCGCAGATACCCCTTGAACCACAAAGGTGCCAGAGTACACACCTTCTTCGCATCCTCCAGCGCCAAACTAGTATCTCGCGTCTCGAAGTAGCATGCAGATCGGTTACTGAGCAGTGGATAATTGGTCGGATCCAGCCTCAACCCTGCACTAAACATCTCAATAGCCTCAGCATAGTCGGCTCTCTGAAAAGCTTCATTGCCTCGCGCCTTCCAATACTCCGAAGAATTCTGCTTCTTCTCTACCTGGTCATACGACGGGAGTCCATCGCCACCCAAGTCCCCATTCTTTGATGCGAATGCAATGTTCGCCAAAGTATTTGTCTCACCGCTACGCGTAATATAATGCTCATATTGTGAAGCTGGTGAGTCAGTCTGTTCCAGCACCGCAACAAGGGACCGTAATGAGGGAAGGAACGCAATGGCCTGTTGTTGCTCCTCATCCGAGTTGGCAGTTGGTGACTCATATATCACTTGTTCTTGCGTACGTGTGCGTGCAATACCGGTCGTTTGTACACCAGCCACCGACGACGTCATACTATTCCTGGCAGAGAGATCGTCGCTCGAATCAGTGCCAGCATGTACCGTGTTGTACACCCTCCGTAAAGCACCCAGGCGCCCACTGCCGAGAGGTGCGTCTGAGCGGCTTCGCAGACGGGGGTTGCTTCTATCAGACTGTAAACCAGAAGTTTTTACCTCCACCGCATCTGATACTGATCGAGCATGGATACCCGGGAGGCTGCTAGCTGTTTTACCAATTTTGTATGACGCGGCATCTAAACTTGCAGTGCCAGACGAATTCAAGTCTAGAGCGGCTTGTGATCCGAATATCGCAGTTGCCGATGCGAATGAGGGTAAGCGATCCCTATTCTCCTGCCCGGATGGCACACCCTCACTCGTCCACTGGTCTCGCCAAGCAGCCCCGCCCACATTGCCGCTGTGAGTAGGGAAATAGCAGGAGTGTTCCGGACTTTCATTCTGACTGTTGTGCATGAGAAAGGCCTGTAAGCTGTTGCTCAGACTGTTAGTACTGTCTATGTTTCGTGCCGATAATGTGTGAGATTGGCTGGATCCGGGAGAATTCACTGCGTTGAACTCTTCGGATGTCTCCATTACCGGTTCTGACCCAGCTTTAGCTCGCGATTGCATGGCCTGCGAGAGCAGGGTGGGAGCCCGAACCCCTTCCACCTGCGATTCCGAATGCGAATGGATCCGGGCTTCTGACAATTTGGTTGTCGACGAAGAAGCGCTAATTAAAAAGAAAAAGTGTAGCATATACGTCAATCAAACAGTTGTTGGTACCAACTACGCAGAGAAAAATGGAGCACAGCCATGTGCAAACTGTCGCGCAAACGAACTCAAACTGACGGAAAAAAGACAACGGCAAGGCGCAATGCAGCTCGGAAGTGACGAACCTGCTATTCCTGGGCAAAGTGGGAAGTGACAACCTTGCGTGATTGAGCGGAGCGTCTCGTTGGTAGCATAAAAACACCTTTTTGACATCAGTACGAAACAAGGAGAAACAGTAGCATATGAGTAGCAGACAAACAAACTCTAATTTGCATCGGCGCAACGTACGCGAGAGCCAGCAATTATTCGGCCATCTACTGAGAAAGTGTATATTATGCTTCTATGTAAACCAGATATCATATATATTTGCATGTATGGGGCCTGCTGTCTATATACCCACGGCACTAGGTTTCTTGCATCATTGGGCACTACTGGGGATGATAGATCAACGAAAAACAATTATATAAGCACTTTTCGTCGCCGCTCGCACCCATGAACACAAATCGATGTTGGTCGAGGCAAGCGTGAATACAACTCGAGAGTTTCTGCTTACCTTCGCACTACTGAGCATATGACTCACAGTTTTCTGCAAACAAAACATGTTTTCCGGCGGCTTTTCGCCTCTACTCATAATTATCACGGCCATATCTGTGATTGGTCTCTCCGTGGCGCGGCTCGTACTTTGCGTACAGTACGTCAAGTAAGTTTTTTTTGAGCCGAACCCTAAATTTGGATGGGTGAATGCAACAGTAGATAGCATAAATTACGATAGAGCGAACATATTTTATCCCATGTATATACTAAAATTCGACAGAGCGCTGCCACGGGACAGCACCAATGTATACAGGCAACGCAATATATTGCATGGCCGATAGTACTCGTGACTTGCCTGAGACACAAAGAACGCATGTGTTTACTAATTCAATACACTCGCGAACTTTCAGGGGCATCCACATTAGGAGAGATAACGTCCTTGTCATTCCTCCAGCCTACAGTGCATGCCCATAGTTCATTCAAATGTTTACTACGGGGGAATTCTTTGGTCGTATGTGCTTATGCTATATTCGAAAATATATTTTGATTTATAGATATCTCTACCGTCATGAGTCTTAGAGCAAAGATGTATATGACATATATGGATATATCCGTTCACCGGCAGTTGATGACGATGGACTGTCAGCCAAAATAATCAAGCATCATAACGGTAAATATAAAGCATTCCTTCTTCACTTTGTTACACACCTGGATTCAAATTCGCGCTCTTGCCTCCCACAGTTCTCGTAATCACATAGTACTCGGATGGGGGGTTTTCAGCAAAGTCGAGTGTGATGACATCGACATCGGTAATCGGACGTTCGCTACCATACTGCACACATACATACATGCGCTTGATCTTGCCTAGTCCCTTGCTTAAATTTGCTTTGTACCCGTTCGGAGTCTTTTTGATCTGTAAGCGTACCATATTAATCAAAATAAACAAGGACGATATTCGCAGGCAGAAGAGACACGACAAAGATTCTTCAGTCGGCATTAAAATGACAGATATCCGAAGTACGACACAATTTGATAGCACCGTATGATATAAACATGAACTAAAATATATAGATATACATATATATACATATATACATACATACATATATATATATATATATATACATATATATATATATGTAAATATATATATATATATATATATATATATATATATATATATATATATATATATATATATATATATATATATATATATATATATATATATATATATATATATATATATATATATATATATATATATATATATATATATATATATATATATATATATGTATGTATGTATTTATGTATGCCTGTATGAGTCTACACTACACTCTACAGTCTATTTATAGTCTACACTCTACACTTTACAGACTCTCTGTAGTAGAGACTACACACTCTCTATCTAGTGACTAGTCCATTTAGTATTCAGTATTTACATACAATTCTACAATGATCTGTAAACTCTATATTCAAAACGAGAGAGAGAGTCTACATACATACTACTATTTAGAGTAAATAGAGTATGTAGTCAGTAGACTTATACAGAATTACAGATGTTTTTTTGTCTCTGTCTGTTAAATTTAGATCTCTCTTTACTCTCAGTAGACTTCTCTCTGACTCTCTATTTATATACATACAACTTTTTAGAGTACCTGTATATAAAACTACGGAACGCACGTCACGCGATGCCCGATGGGTATTGGATATGTGGAGTTAACAGTGTACTCTATAGTATGTTTAACTATATAGTAAGAAGCACGATTACACATACGTGCATGATTGAAATGCATTACATTTCCTACGTCAAACTGGTCACATGCTTTTTTTGGGGTCAGTATTTGCTGGCTGCCACGCGGCCGACGGTAGTCGGTACTGTCTTTCACTCTTTCTACAGATCATACAGAATTCAATCACATTTCCTCTCATTTTCGAATATTAATAATTTTATCTGTCTAACTGTACCAGATCCGGCGACCCCCGGCACGTATCGAGTTCTTGCTGATTTTAAGGTACAGATAGATCCGTCTCGCTGGAGTAAATTAGTTACATATGGCAAATTGTAATGCGTCTTTGAAATACACTTGTTGAAGTTGTATCGAGTCGAACAAACTTTGACTGTATACCTCGTTGGATATATGCCGGAATATCGGCGACGATATATACGACAATCAATTTCGAATGCATTATAATAGATGTTCGACCACGGATTGTGTACAACTTCCTTTGTCCAATAATATGCGCAATTTGTTTGGCGACCGACGGCGTGGAGGTGTGTCTACCCAACGGCATGGGCTTATAAATTCAGTTTGACTCTGTATACACACACATATATATATATATATATATATATATATATATATATATATGTGTGTGTGTGTGTGTGTGTGTGTGT